GATTTGTTTCCACTAACGCTTTTTAATAGATTTGGACTATAATATCAAAAAAAAATTGTAAACAAGTTTTAAAATAAAATAATGTAGTAAAATAAAAAGTTAAATTCTTATGTTTTTTTTAAGATAATGCGGTAAAAGTGATATAATTAAAACGGATAATCATTTGATATGCATATAAAATTTTCTTTAATAGTTGACAATTCTTTGAAATGTTTTGGTCACTGTATTTTTGTAAATATGTTTGAACCTATTGCTACATCAGCTTTGCCTTCCACGGAATCCTAAAAAAACGCTCTTAAGCTTTAATCTTAGTCAAACATTCTGAACCATACGTAAATACCGGACGAATTGTTGTTTTATATATATTCTTTCCTTCGACCCGTTAGACAAAGAACCGCTTCTCAGATATTTTTGGAGAGAGAATTAGGTTCGATTCACTGTGAGGATTCGTCTTGGAATTTCTTCCTCTAAGCTGTTCTCTTGGGTAAACTATCGTCTTAGGTATATGTAGGATTTCTTAATTTAAATAAAACAAAAATATTACACTTTGGAAAAAAAAAACACTATCTAAACATATGATGAAATAAAACAAACGCTTCACTATTTATAATATTACAATAAAGAATGATTTAATATTTTATGATTATATATTTTGTAACACAAAATATTAATTGAGTAATTTACTATTGTTTTTATATTTTCATAAGAACTGGTATCACAGGAAACAAGGAAATCTGTTTTGAGCTTTAAAACGTAGTTTTGTATTTTCTGAATACCGAAAACTTCGTGCATGTACATTATTGAAGTACTTCTGGGTGAAGATTCGATAAATATAATACACTTTTTTTGTACAATTTGCAACCTTTTGTACTTATTTGAACAAGTATTCGGCTGTATTTCACAGGCATATGATAGGATTGGTCTTATAAATAAATAATAGATGATCCTATTATTTCTCACGTTTAAAACTGACTTTCTATTCATCACTGGAAACATTCAAAATATCTTCAATTTTACTCGGTTTTATATTTCATTTGTTAAAAAGTTTTGAAGCATTTTCGAATAAGAATGATTAAAATATAAGTGCTTCTGTAAGAGGAAATTTAATGGGCTTCGTCATCTGCATATAAAACAATATTGTTTTTTATTCAATTTTAAAAAATGTTGAAGAGGACTGGGTCTAATACTGAACCCCGGAGTACTCCAGAATAAATCTGTTTTTAATGAGAGTTATCATTATTATTGGGATATATAAAATTTAATTCTGCATGGGTATTATATAACTTTTGAAAAAAACGACTTTAATTAAATATTTTTGGCATCATTGAAAATTAAAATTAATGACAGTAAATAGTTAATGTATAATGGCAAAAAAAAACTTTCTATAGTAACCTTTTTATGTCTAAATAATAAAAATATTTTAAAAGAAAAAAAATTCACAATTATTAAATCCTCACTTTTTGGATAATATTAATGTTTGATGTAGGTAATCACAACAATTAGCAGAGAACTCTAATATTAGCATCCCGTATTCGAAAATTGCCTAGACGTGACGGAGTTCGTTCGCAGATTTCATGAGAACACCGAAGCAAGCGGTTATTCAATCCTGAATATTTGAATAATATTTCCTATTCAGGACAGACTGTCATAGATCCGCTTCCCCTTGGAATAAATAGTTTATCAAGTCGACCCATGAGGGTAGAAATAAAGGCTCTTCCTGTCCCGAAGGCCCACTGACAGGTCCTCTCTTCCTCCTTCTGCTCCTGGCGTCGACATTTTCCTCCAATATTTGGGACCGTTTCTGGGAACCTTTATTTCAAAGATATTTCTCGAGAAGATTTACTTTTCTCCGTTTTGCATATATAATAATACTGTAAAATTGATGAGAGCCCGTGTATGAATAATTCAGGGACCTTGAAGGCGCATATAGAATGACTTTAGTTACTGAATTATTCAATAAGCTGAAATTTTATAGTTTAGAGATGAACGGGGGTGGGATGGCCGAGCGGGAACCATTTCCACGGGATAAACTGAAGTTAACCTGCTAAAATTATAACAAGTTGCATATATATATAAATATATATATATATATATATATATATATGTTCACCACTAAACTTTTTTTGACCTTCTACTCCCGTTGTCTTTTAGGTGATGTGGGGTTTGGCCTGTGCCAGAGAAGAAGGCAAGAAGAGTTAAAATCCTCTTCCTCTCCTCCCCCCCAATATATATAGAGAGAAAGAGCGTGTAAGCAACGTCGAGCGTGGTCAGTACTTGGATGGGTGACCGCCCGATTTCGGTGACCTACTGGAGGCAACTCAAACCGCAGGGAGGTGAGTGACCCTGTGGTAGATATAGCTCCTGGTTCTCCAGGTTGGGGGTTGGGCATAGGACTAATAACCCTATCCCGTCAAAAACACCATATTAAGAAAACAAAAACTAGCCTCGGAAAATCTGACTGGCCTAATATGGTAACGACTCCGGCTTTGTATAACAGACTCCATATCGGATCATGGAATGTTCGGTGCTTATACAGACCAGGAGCCGCCCAAACGATAGTTAATGAAGTAAAAAGCTACAACATACCGTTAACAGCCATTCAAGAGGTATAGTGGCCAGATGGTGGGGAAACCACTATAGATGGCTACACGCTGTTCTACACCGGGAGAAACGACAGAAAAGGGACAGCTGGCCCTGGATTTATAGTTAATCCTGTCACAAGGAAGTCAGTAATAAACTTCACCCCAGTTAATGAAAGGATAAGTGTGCTACGCGTAAGAGATCACTGGTTTAATATCAAAATTATTAACGTGTATGCACCAACCGAAGAAAAAAAGGATGAGCTGAAGGACGATTTCTGCTGGCGGCCAAAGATCTACAAGGTCTGTAGAGCCAACCAAAAAAAAAAATATTCATATTGTACATAACTGTATGTGTATTTGTACGGGTAACATAAAATTAACTGTATGTATACAGAATCGTGGGGAACAAAATTTAAAAAATAAACAATATTTCAAACCTGTATTAGAATTTCAGTCATCGAAGTCCTATTGTTTCTTAGCCCTGAGAAAGGCTTGAACGTTGGACCGAAACGTCTGCAAAAATAAAAATAAATACAATTTATATATTTTTATTTTTTTTTTACTGTAAATCCCAACCAATCATCTCTTCTATTTGGATAAATGTTCGAAAATACTGCTAGTGACTTGTACAGATTTGGATAAAATGTTTCCATATCGTGGGATTGGTTACGGTGGTCCGATTTGTTGGCCTCTATGATCTCCAGATCTCACAGTACTGGATTATTGTTCATGGGGCTGGTTCAAAGATGAAGTATACAAAGTAAAATTTGACACTCGGGATGCACCAGTTAAATATTTTAAAAATGATATAGGTGTTATCGAAGAAAGACATAAAAGAATCTAGAGGCCAACTACCACGCTTCGAAAATGAAGTCGAATTTTTTTGGAATCAATAGCAGTATTTTCGAATATTAAATTAAATAAGACTTCGATAGCTAATACTAATATATGTATGAATTACTGTTTATTAATTAGGAAATAATTTTTTTTTTCAAGTTACTTATTCAGAAATATTACAATCTGTCAAAATTAAGGGCATTTATAATAATGTTCAGAGAGAAAAATCACACTCTATTTACTATAAATAATACAGAAAAATAATAAAAGTAAATCTATATAAGCAAAAGAACTAAACTAACCAAAATAACAACTAGAACGCGGACATACTAATTAATAAATTAATAAAAGCAAATTCATGAAACATTTCTAATCATAGGTGCTGATACTTCGGCGATCGCTTTTCCCCGTACTCACTGATATTGTGTGCTAACAAACTTGATACCATACGATTTAGAAAGCGTTTCTCTTGTATAATTATCAATTTTATTAATCTTACATAATTACAAACTTTAATTTTTTAATTATTAAACGGTTTTTTAATTTTAAATCTTTCTTGTTTTTTTTAATGTAAAAGTAATTTTATTCTAAAAGCGGATATCTGTCATTAGCAGAAAAATTATATAAAAAACAATTTTAGTTTTATAATTATTATAACAATAAAGCTTCGATCTAAACTAATTCCCATGAATTGTTTAGATAAATTCCAGAAAAATTGTTTTAATTGGGCCAATAAAATTAAAATTGTTTTTTCTGCTATACACCCGCTAACTATCTAGTAGTCTTACTGCTAAAATATATCGTTTAATGATGATTGTAAAATAGGTTTTAAATTTTTTCGTAAGAAGGAAAATTATTTCGTAAAAAATATGTTGTTAATCAAAGTATTATTAAATAATAAATTTAGAATACAAGTTCTTTATATTTATAATTATAGTAAAATTAGTATATATATAGAGAGAGTTTTTTTTTTTGTACATAACTTGTTTGACGAATACTTTCTTTACTTTTTCTTTTTTGTTATTGTTTTATTTAGGCCAGATTTAGTCTTTTAATTTTTTTATATTTTGTTACTCTAAATGGACTTTTTCTCAGAATAAATTTATTTCCTATTTCTATAATTAAATAATATATTTATAGTTTTATATTGGTATCAATAAATCTGTAGTTTTTAGCATTTGATTAACTCCATCAAGTTTCAATGATTGAATTGTTTAAAAACATTTGTCATATTTTACAGAGGTAGAATGATTTTATTAAAATTGTTATACTTTTAAGTCATGGCACTAGCCCCCACAATGCAGACGCCACATTTCTTAAAATTGAGTGTTCTAATGGTTTTTATATCGTTATTAATGCTTTCCTACTTAAGTAAAATTAGAGGTAATAATGAGTGACTTTCGTAAGCGGTATTGCCAATAATAACACTTAACTATAATTTTTTCTAAAATTTTACCCGTAATTAATATTTTATTAGTGATGGTTCAGGGACAAGCATGACTTCAACCGGAAGTTGACTACAGTTTGAATTTAAATATTGACACATATCTGAAGTAAGAGCTATTAATTGATTACCCGCAGGTTGAGAGCATCAGCGGAGCCTCCGAGCACGCGGGAGCCAGGCCTGACCTCATCGTGGCCGTTACCAGACTCAAGTTCAGGCTCAATTCGCGACACATCAAGAACGGGCGGACCATCATCACCTGCGTCTCCAGGTACGGCATCTGGCCTCCCTTCCAGGACATGGAGGGCCCTGAAGAGAATGCCCTCACGGCTCCCGATGGCAAGGACTTGCAGAGACTGTACTCGGTCAAGTGGGACACCAGGCTGTATCGTAAGTTTTATATCTATTCTTTTCACTTCCTTTCCCCTTTTACCCTGTTTAAGGCTCTTAGAATTTCAAATAACCTCCATTATTTCATTTTTTTTTCTATTAGTTTTACATGGTGGTTGAGAGCAACATAGTGGTTTAAGAGCAACCATACCTATACTCGAGTTAGGGTAAAAAAATGAAGAGCTATATAAAAAAAATCACAAATAATGTATGAATTTTTTTTAACGGAAATTAGCTGTTCTTGTCCGTTCAATAGCCCTCTATAAATATATTTAGCAATGACAAACTCTCCTTCAGTTTAAAGTAAATATTGTCTAGTTTACTATGGAGCAATATTTAGTTACCTTAATCAAATATTTTCTATATTATCGCTCCCTATTCAACAAAAAACATGACTCACTAAAAAAAAGAAAAATCTTAAATTTCTCTCTTTACTGTTGGAAATCAGGCAATTGTTTATTTAAACGTTTTATAGATCATTATGCCTACTATCAACCTTTTAAATATTCCTCACTACTTTGCTAAGTTTTTTATTGAATATCAAGCGATAACTTAAAAAATATTTGATTAAAGCAATTACTCCGTAGTTAACGAGACAATATTTACTATAAACGAAAGTAGAGTTCGTCATTATTAAAACTATTAGAGGGCTATAGAGCTGACGAAAATATCTAATTTCCGTTTGAAACAAATTCGTACATTATTTGTGTTTTATGTAATCGCTCTTCATTACAAAAAACTTGACTTACTTAAAACAACATAAATCTTAAATTTCTCTCTTTATTGTTGGAAATCGGGCAATTGTTTATTTAAACGTTTTATAAGGAATTTATAACTGTCATCAAACAGATAATGAAGACAGAATGGGAACAGATATGGTCGAATGTAACCGAAAATAAATTGAGGGAGGTGAAGGGTGATGTTTCCTCTTGGGCATCGTCAAATAGGAGTGACCGCAGAGAGGAAGTAATTCTTACGCGCCTGAGTAAAGGTGATACACGCCTTACTCATGGATACCCGATGGCCTCTGATTCTTCGCAAACATGCCAAACTTGTGGGACTCCTCTGACAGTGATACACATCTTAACAGAATGCAGAGCTTACATTTAGACTTTCTTGTGACTTGACAAACGATCTACACTCCATTTTACAGAACAATACGAATGAGGTTGATAAACTGTTTTGTTTTCTGAAATATTCTGGACTTGAGAATACAATCTAGTTCTCGATGAGAATAAGGTGATAATGACCCTAGTGGTTGAAGCCTTAAAATATATATATAAAAAAAAAAAGTTTTATAGATCTTTATGCCTAATATCAACCTTTTAAATATTCCGCTCTACTTACGGGACACCCTGCATATTGATATTTTTTGTTTAAATTTTGAATAACTATACATATATATATATATATATATATATATATATATATATATATATATATATATATATTTATAGAACGCCTGCACAAGCAAACAATGAAAAATATTTATTTTTTTTATTTGACAGCCGGAGCCATTAGGGTTGATTGTGGTCTTCTTTAAATATAATTCATTAATTTCATTTGTTTAATGTAGTTGAGTGTTTTCTTTATATTGAACAATGTTTCCAAATTTTACTTTGATTCGTTCTTTAACGTATTTGTTGGACTGAAACAGGTGTTGAACGGCACAGGCGGATCTACGGGGGGAAAGAAGAGGGATTTCGGGCTGAAGCCCCCTCCCCCTCCCCAAATGGTTAAATATAATCATGTTTTATAAAAAAAAAAAAAAATAATAAAAAACCATCTCTTAAAGTATTATTGTTCGTGTAATTACATTTAATAGGACAACAAGAATCACTTAAACACCATGTCGTATCGGTAGTTAGTCTTTTTCTTTCTTTTTTTCAAAATGTATATGTATATTTTATTTATGTATTTTTTTATGTATTATAATTTTATGTATATGAAAAAAAAATTTCGGGCTGAAGCCCCCCTCCCCAAAAAATAAATTCTAAATCCTCTAGTGTTGAACGGTAAGATTTGCATAGTCTCATGCTTGGGAACTTGGTCGGGTTTGAACAAGATTTGATTCCAATAAAGCTGTGAATGAACAATTCCTTAATTTTCATTTTAATACAGGAAAGAAATAAAAAAATTGATGTTTTTATGCGATTTATCGGTAACATCGACATTTAACGTTCAATAGTTATCAACTCCAACGTATCCATATTGTTACTGTCAAAAATTGTGGTCCAGGAGACAAAAAAAAAAAAAAAAAAAAAGATAAACATTGCTGAAAGCATGGAATGAATTCCAATGTATAATTAATAATAATATTTTAATCTTAAGACAGCGTATACCTAATCTGTAGCGATGAAGAAAAACTTTTGAAGAAACTTTTGGTTAAATGTATATGAATAACAATAAATTCTTGGATTTTTAAAACACTCCTTATTTTAAATGAATATAACCTCGATCAACTAGCACTCTTTATGTCGACTATTCTAGATTTTTTGAACTTTTATATAGTTAAAATAAATGAATATAATTCCAGTTGATTTAGCCACAATTCAATTAACAAGTTAATTGCTTTATGTTCATCAGATGGAAAGACAATCAAATCCATGTATCGCAAATCCCGCAGAAGCGATAGGGAGGCCATAATGAAAACGTTGATGGCAAGCCTCGATTTCAATGATTCCACTATTCCACAGGTCGGGCACAAATTGGTGAATAATCTTTGTGCGACGACATGTGGCCGAAATGCGATGCACGAGAGACAACAATTTGTCCTCATTTGGAATTATAATGCCGCCGCTTAAAAGTGAAATCGATGTGGCTTCAATTCTGACGATCATCGTAACTGTTGAACGCACGAGCCTGATGTATCAGTCAGGGAATTGGATAAAATAAAATTTACTCCTCAAAAATTGAAACAATTGATCTCCACTCATAATTTATAGTAATTGAAAAAAATAAATTAAAACTAATGTTTTCATAAATATATTTATAACTATTTTTTTAAGGAGTTAAAATATCAGTAAAGCAAGGTAAAAAAAGTAACGTCATAAAAATAAATCTTACATAATTGATATTGTAGAAAACTTTAATAATTTAATTGTGAAAACGTATCTGTTCCGTTTGGAACATCTGTTAGTGTATCGGGTACATATAATAAAAACAATATCATGATTTTCTTATATTTGGAAAATCCGACTAAATCAAGACGAATCACAGCACATCACATTTACGCTTCGCCATGAAACATGCCCTCCAGTTTTTCTTGACGATACACAGATTCCACAGACAGACACCGTTCACTACCTTGGTCTGACATTTGACAGAAAAATGACGTGGGGCCCACATATAATAAAAAAACGAAAAACTTTAAATCAAAGATTAAGAATTCTGAGTTCACTTCTTTCAAAAAATTCAAAACTAAAACTTAGACAGAAATTGAACACATACAATTACTTACTAAAACCTATTTGGACTTACGCATCACAGATATTTGGAAGTGCTAAAAAGACTCACTTAAACAAACTTCAAATCTTTCAAGCAAAAACATTCATAACAATTACAAAAGCACCTTAACCTTACATACTGACCTCCATATGCCGACTGTTAACGAACACATACGTATTCATTACAAACGATTCCATGACAACTTACAAGGACATACTAATACACTTATAAATGACATGGCCACTACGAATATGCCAGGTAACGTCTGTAGAAGACTGAAGAGGAGCTGGATGAGGGACCTCCTCACCTAATGTAGATATCACGCCGAGTGAGGTGCCGCTGTGCACTGATCCTCCTCATGCCTTTCATGACAATTCTATTAATCAATCGATCTCACATCCACTGGTTGTCATTAGCATTATGACAGGTGTGAATAAAACATTAAAGCTAAAAAAAAAATGATTTTCTTATATATTATTAACTATAAAATAATATATAATACAGGAACCAAAAAAATAACTTATTCATAGCAATTACTGAATTGTTATGAAAGTTTATGTTTAATAGTCTGTGGACGTTTTATCAAATTATTAACAACCCTGAAACCTCGTGAATAGCTTCATCTCATACGTAACCTACAAGTTTTATATTTACGAAAATTTTCGGAATTGTAGCGTTTTAAATCTGGAGATCGGAAAACTTTTTCTATTTAATTAGGTACTAAAAACTCATTTGATTTCTACTTGAATCATAAGGTAATATGATCAAATATCGAAAAAACAAAAAGTGGCCTAATAAAATATTGGTCCGTTTGACGTGACCTCCACTCCCGAAAATGCCAAAATAAAGAGGTTACATAGGTAAAGCGTCCCAATGTTTTTGAAGGTCACGTTTTTTTTTCTATTTTGTGATCATATTATCTTCCAATTCAAGGGGAAAGCATACGGGTATTCATGAGTTTTTACTCATACAAAGTTTGCCGATCTCGATATTGAAAATTGAAATTGAGGATACAATAAGATGAAGCTCTTGATTTAGTTTTAGGCAGATGCTAATAATTTGATAAAAATGGATCTGTTCCTGGGACTATAAGGTTTGTTTATTTTTAATAGACCTCTTATTTTCCAATAATTGATAGCTTATCTTTCATTATTCATCATTTAGACTTTTATTTGAATAATAATAATAATACAATCCGCCACAATCAAGAGCATTTGGTATTATGATGATAACCATGATAACAGTCATACTATTTAAATACAAATTGATAAAAAATAAAATAATACTAAAACATATAAGTAAAAATATATACATTAAAATAATAATAAAAATAAAAAATATACTTGTAAAAAAAAAACTTTGTAAGAATAACAAAAAATAAAAAAAATTACAAAAAAAAATATGACTAGACAAAAATATTACTAAAACACATTACAAGAAAATATATTACTAGAACTCTTTTTCATAATTAGATTTTCATTTCTTTTTTATCTTTTCTCCTACCCCATCATTTCGTGTTTACGAGCGGTTGTGGTACAACCAAACCTATTCTAACTAGTGTGGAAAGGTCGAGATTGAATCCGTGGGAGGAAGGGGTGATAAAAATCGTGCATTAGGGATATCAATAAAAAATCAAAAGATCTGTCCTTAATTAGTTGCAGAACATTATTACTAGACCCAATAAGTAAAAATAATTACTACAGGGTTCAAAGTGTTCTTGATCCTTCATAAGACAGACACTTATTAAAATAAGGTTAAAAAGGAAACCTGGAAATCCTTGAACTAGATTCAAATAGGTCACAGTAGTTAGCACTTGCAAACGAGCTCTAGGATCTCTTGAATAATTTTATTATTCACTGAGATCCAATAAGTGTTAGGAAATGATGGTCATAAAAAAAAAAAAAACTGACTAATTTCCTATGAAATTCGGTTTAATTTTTACATTAAAAAGTATATAATAATTTTTTTTAACAAATGCCGCCCTTTTAAGTTTGAATGCTCAAGTTATGAAATGAGATATCTGAAATGCATTTCACTACACAATAATAATAATTTCACCACAATATAACTCCCGTCAACTGCATTTCCCCCTATGCATCTATGCATGTAAACATCCGAAAGAGGCTTTAGTTTCGTAGGAGGATGTAATGCAGTCGACTAATACACCAAGATTAAATTTTTATTAACTTTAGTTCACTAACGATCTTCCATTTTGTATCAGTTGAAAAACTAGTGCAATTCCTTTAAGTTGGATAGTTATTTCTGTAGTATTTATTGTAGATTTAAAAAAGAACAACAACGGATATAATTCAGAAAAATGCTTGGCAGAGAAAAACAAAATTCTCCCCTTAAAAAATTGTATTTTCAACGTTTCGTATATCCGACATTCTTCAGGCGATTCTGGAATGGACACAATCACCTCACGATTTACTATAATAATTCACAATAAAAAAATAAAATTATTTTTCTCAATTAATAACTAAAATTTTAATATTTATGAAATGATATGAAATTCTAATGGGTTGTGTATTCATAAAAATTATAATTGGCTGTCGTTGGTCATTGTAAAAGGATCTATAATTTAAAACTACTTTATCTACTATCTAGAAATGACTAAAGTATGATAAATAATCTTATTAAAGTTATTCATTTTTGGGGTGATCTTTATATAATTATGATTTTTAATCAATATAAGATTAACGTCTGTTCTAAAAGATAACTTTTAATTCCACAGTTTTTATGTTGCAATTAAACAATATTTTAACTAGAATTTTTATTTTCTCTTTATTTTAAGGTTTAAAAGCCATTTTTCAGAAATTAAAAAAAAAAACTAGTCGTCATAACCATTCATTAAAAAATATTTTTATAGTTTACTAAGCTATGCTAATTGTTTAATTAAAATTATATTTTTTTTGTTCTTTCTTATTCTTTTCTCATCCACAATTAGTCTTTTTTCCCTTTCGTCCTCAGTTTTTTTTCAAAAACTCCTATCCTTATTTTTATTGCTTTCCATCCAAAGATTAATTTTTCTTTTACAGGATGTAGCTTAGAAAGCTCCACTTGTTTAGTTTTATCCAAAAAAAGTTTACATTTAGAAGTAATATAACTAGTGTTGTCCGAAATCGGTCATGGTCTTGCAATTTGTAAGACCAAAATCAAGACTGCCTAACTGTTGCAAGACCAAGACTAAGACCCGTAAAAAAAAATTGTTTTTTTTAATAAAAATTAAGGCGAAATAGTTACTAACACTCGATAATTGTAGTTACTGTAGGTAAATAATTTGTATAACAAATATACTTTTGCATTTAACTCTTCCAATTTTTTCATTCGGGCTTAGTTAGGTTTCCATAATCTGAAAAATTACTATAATATCTCTATAGAAATAAGCTAATTGGAAACTAATTGGTAAGCGCAAGACCATTACCAAGAGAAAGACTGAGAGCGCAAGACCAAGAATCGTCTTGGTCTCGCATTTGGACAACACTAAATATAACCAAGGATCAAGATAAATATATAAATATAAATAAATCAATATTTTTTATTGTTTGCTTGTGCAGACATTCTATATATATATATATATATATATATATATATATATATATATATATATATATATATATATATATATTTCTATATATTATAAATATAATGGGTAAATGCATTATGTTCTCCTTCTTATTTTACAGTCACCATGAAAGATGCAGGATGCCATTCTGCCTTAATCGGGTGGACTACACTATTGCTCACTGCCCTGTCTGCAATACAATGCTCATCATGAACCCCTGGCTCAGATCAACGATTATCTTCGAATCATATATTATGTATATTTTATTATATAATTTAATAAAAATGAAAAACATTACAATATTAACCTAATTCAAGCAATCAGTTATCGATTACAGATTACATATTGTTTCTATGATTATAAATTTTATTAAATATAATCTTTTTTTTTCTAAAAAAATATGGATATTTATTTATCACTCAATAAATTTCCCTTTATCCCGATATCAATCATTATATAACTAAAAAATTAATTTTATTTAATAATATTTCACTACTTTTAATACAAAACGTCGTATGTAAGAATTTTACATGTTTATTCTCTTTGCGATAAAGGTGATATTTTGTTATCTACAGCTGATATAAGCAGTCTACCAAATAATAATAAAAGAGAGGGAAATAAAATATATAGTTATATAACTAAATTATAAATAAATAATAGATTTTTAAGCTTTTCTGTAAAAACACTCAATTTTTGCAAACGACCTTTTGCACTAAAAGCAACAATTTGACATACCAAGAAATTTTAATGTATGTTCCGTAGATCAAACTGAACTACGTATATTTGTTTTATGGAGCAGTCGCCTATAATTTTACTAATGAATGTAAACATAGCTGAAAACTAATTTTATAAATAATTTCATCAAAAAGAAAAAATAAGAGGTTTTAATGATTAAATTAGAGTTTTTTTGTTTTGTAGTATAGCACAATTTTATATCAGATAAAAACGGTAGCTTATTGAGTAAGGCACTGTAGTCCTGTGTTTCAGATTCCAGATTAGAGTTCAGCTATGGTAGGTAACTATTTATCCTGTTCTATCAGCCGTGGATAAGCCTTGATTTCAGGAAACCCGAAAAATCCGATTGGAGCTCAATCTTCCTATATAAAATTAATTAAGAGGAAAATCTGGTGGAAGAGTACCGTTGCAAAATCGTTGACCGAGAAATACTACTTTCATAAATACTATTGGATCCTACCATTATGCATTTTAGTGATGGATAAATTCAGGGAAATTTTATGTTATGAATATTTAGAGTTTTTATTTTTAGTTCAATAGTTCCTTAATCAAGGATTTAAGGAAGTGAACAAAGACCAGGGAAGAGGTAAGTGCTGGTAGGTATTGTTTTCCCTCATGCCTCAAAAGCCATTTGCAAAATATTAGAACAATTTCGCTTATTGTCATTTTCATGACAGGTGAAGATGGTTTGAAGGGAAAAAAATAAATAACTATACTAAAATCATAAGAATTAAAAAAAAAATATTTTCATCATATTGAAAAAATCATCTAAGGAAGCTAGAATTAATAGATATCAATAAAGAGATCCGATTTTACTTACTAACTTATTTTGGAGTTCTAGCAATGGCCAGATTCTCCACTCAAGTCATGAGTGTCTGTGGCTGTAGCGCTCTTACTCATCCTCCGCTGGTTTACAATACCAGTGAAGTGGCTGAGGGAGAAGCGTAGGGATCTCCTAAGCCTCCCTTTTCCCTCCACATGTGGAGGGGACAGGATTGGTTCGGAGATCACCTGGCAAATTTTAAATAATGTATATAGGTATGTTTTATATAAGGTGTTTGTTTTTCTTTTATTTCTATTTGTATTTACTTATGTGTATATATATATATTTTTTTTTCTTTACTCTTTTGTTCTTTCTTCTTATTCTTTTGTTATTACTTTATTTATTTATATTTTTGTATATACGGTATGAATGCAATCTCTGAACTCTATCATAAGTGTCCTTAAACTGTGACAAATTGTAATATTTCTGAATAAAGTAAATAAAATAATAAACTTACTAACTTAATATTAAAAAAATCCAGACAAAATAACTGTATTAAGATTAATATATAAGCAATTTTTTGAAGATCTTGTTCAGGGATCAACCTCCCATTTTAATGGCCTCCACTTTGAAATCAATTATTTTAGCAGTGTTAAGCTTCATTTTTAGTAGTGTTAAGCCCGAGGTTATAGTGAGTTTTGCACACCCATTTATTTTTACTAGACATTATTGAAGAACTATGATGTTCTAAATCCAAGTAAAAGAGCCTGCAGGTTAGAGTGAATTTTGCAAACCCATTTATTTTTACTAGACATTATTAAAGAACTATGATGTTCTAAATCCAAGTAAAAGAGCCTGCAGGATCAAATATAGTAAATAAAAGGCTGCCATGAAAATCAAGATCAGCCACATACAATATAACACAGCTTAATATAATTTTTGCCTGTAGCAAAATTACTTCAATTTCAATCCTACAATGCATAAAACAGTTATTGTAATTTTTGTTTTTCTCTTTCATTAGCAATTTTACCTTTATTATAATGATAATCAGGGGTTCTTTTTTTTTTTTTGTGTATATTCATTGTCTTTAATATAATATTTTGTTATTGAAGGAAGTTAGTCAGCTGTTCTACATATCATGGGTGATAAATATTCAGGACGCAGTCTTTTTTTTAATTTAATTTTTTATTTTTACCTACGTTTCAACCCAAACATGTCAGTCATCTTTAGGGTTGAATTTTTATTAAAAATACAATCAGAGATATAATATTATACGATCGATAATGGTAAATAATAAACTATAGTGATTGATGGTACATGAATCTTAACTAATATTGCAAAACACACATTAAAAATGAAATATGTAAATAGTTATACAAACTAAAAACTAAAAACTAATATATATAATCCATTTATACAAATATGTAATATTTTTACTTACTAACCGTGGTTTGAGCACTGAGGGTGTTCAAGTACTAACACTGAGACTAAATAGTATTAATTTGTATAACTATTTACATATTTCATTTTTAAAATGTATATTTCAATATAAGTTAAGATTCGTGTACCATCAATCACTATAGTTTATTATTTACCATTACCGGTCGTATAATATTATATCTCTGATTGTAGTATTTTTAAAAAAAAATTCAGCCCTGAAGATGACTCACATGTTTGGGTTGAAACGTTGGGATAAATAAAAAAATAAATAAAAAAAATACTGCGTCCAGAATATTTATCATCTATGATTATCTTTTGTTGTTTCACAAATGTTTAATTTCTGTGATCGAACCCTTATATTGTCCACACCCATTAAAACAGGTGGTTTTCTGCCAGATCTCCGTCATAGGAATCGATACATAAATACATAATCAGATACAAACTTAATGTTTCTTACTAAAATTTACTATTAAAACAAAGAAACCTACCGATTGCTTCATGTTTTTTTTAACGTAAGTATTAGGGCCAAAACATTAAATTTGTCACTTATAAATACTCATCAATTCCTATAATAGAAATTTTTGAGAAAAACACAATTTCTTAACCACTTTACATGAAAAATATTTAAGAAATTTTTTTTTTCTTATTTTTATAAACCAAATGTGTTTTTAGGCTATAACGATTATTAGAATACATCTCATATCATAGGAAAACAAGATAATTAAAGCTTTGTTATTTCTAATCATTTTTTGATGAAAACAGGGGTAATTTAATGTAACTGGATAGAAAATCACATAATGTTTTTACACAACTTGAGATGAATCTCATTTTTTTTTTAAATAAACTTCAACTTGATTAATATGGACTTAAAGCTTATTAAACGAGCAAGTTTTTGTAAAAGTGGGGTAAACGCAGTACTGTTAAAGAGAGATAAAAAAAAATCACGAATAATTTGTGAATTTTTTTAAACGAAACTTAGCTGGGTTTGTTAATAGTCCTCTTTATATATATATATATATATATATATATATATATATATATATATATATATATATATATATATATATATATATATATGTGTGTGTGTGTGTGTGTGTGTGTATTTTTTTTTCTGTTGGCGCTAAAAACCATGGAGATCTTTGACAGCGAGATGTGGTCTCCTAGCCAACATCCCGATTCCCGATTTAAGTACACGCGGGTAGGGTCATAAGCCCTACGCCCGGTCGATGCGAGGTGTGAGATATATATGTATTATACATAACTGTATGTGTATGTAACCCAAAATTTCACTTTCGAGATCAATGGGTCATATTTGCCCCACACCAAAACACCAAATTATTTTAAATGATATCATTTGCTTACTTCTATCACATTCTGTATTCTAGACGCCTAATTTTAGCTATATTAGTTAATCAATGATTAATTTAGATTTTAATAAATCCAATGTAAATGTGAAGATAAACTTTAGAAAAAACATTAATATCTGGATATTAGTTTATGTTCTAGGCTTGAATCAAAAGTAACACATTACCATCACACTTTATATAAATATATATGTATATACAAGAGTAGATACTTATAAATAGTTTTAAACATTTACTAAATTAACTAAAAACATAGTGCTAAATATAAACCTTACGACCCTCCAACAAATCTCGAAGTAAATCTTCCTAACCAGGAAGTCCGCTCAGAGCGTCATGTCGCGTTGACTGGAATGTATGGCCTAGCGCTTGGGTAATCAATGGAACACGGCCAAGTACTTAGATATCGCGTAAAGAAAATATCCACAGAAGAGAAACAAGGAAAAATTACTTTAATAAGTTATGAAAACATATGAAAATACTGGATAATATTTCTTCATGAAAAGCACAAACTATTAAAAATTTTACTATCAAGAATAATATACACACACAGTTATGTGTAATATATATATATATATATATATATATATATATATATATATATATATATATATATATATATATATATATATATTATATATATATATATATATATAAATTAAAGAGAACTATTGGGCGGACAAAAACAACTAAGTTCCGTTTAAAAAAAAATCATAAATTGTTTCTGATGTTTTTATCACCATTTAACAGTACTTCCTCGTGAAAACTTCCTCGTTTAGTATGCTTTAATTTTTCCTAATAAACCTCAAAAAGCGAAAATGTGTTTGTCCGCTCAATAGTAACCTTCTTTTATAGTAAATTTTGTCTAGTTTATTATATAGAAATTTTTGGTTACTAAAATCTAATATTTTTTAAGTTATCATTTCCTATTCAACAAAGAAATGGTGACTCGCTTAAAAAAACACAAATGTTAAATTTCCTACTATTCTGCTCGAAATTGAGCAATTCT